ACTTTCTACTTCTTACATGTTGAACACAAATACCTGTACTTTCTACTTCTTACATTTTGAACACAAATACCTGTACTTTCTACTTCTTACATGTTGAACACAAATACCTGTACTTTCTACTTCTCACATGTTGAACTCAAATACCTGTACTTTCTACTTCTTACATGTTGAACCCAAATACCTGTACTTTCTACTTCTTACATGTTGAACACAAATACCTGTACTTTCTACTTCTTACATGTTGAACACAAATACCTGTACTTTCTACTTCTTACATGTTGAACACAAATACCTGTACTTTCTACTTCTTACATGTTGAACCCAAATACCTGTACTTTCTACTTCTTACATGTTGAACCCAAATACCTGTACTTTCTACTTCTTACATGTTGAACTCAAATACCTGTACTTTCTACTTCTTACATGTTGAACACAAATACCTGTACTTTCTACTTCTTACATGTTGAACACAAATACCTGTACTTTCTACTTCTTACATGTTGAACACAAATACCTGTACTTTCTACTTCTTACATGTTGAACCCAAATACCTGTACTTTCTACTTCTCACATGTTGAACTCAAATACCTGTACTTTCTACTTCTTACATGTTGAACACAAATACCTGTACTTTCTACTTCTTACATGTTGAACACAAATACCTGTACTTTCTACTTCTTACATGTTGAACCCAAATACCTGTACTTTCTACTTCTTACATGTTGAACCCAAATACCTGTACTTTCTACTTCTTACATGTTGAACTCAAATACCTGTACTTTCTACTTCTTACATTTTGAACCCAAATACCTGTACTTTCTACTTCTTACATGTTGAACACAAATACCTGTACTTTCTACTTCTTACATGTTGAACACAAATACCTGTACTTTCTACTTCTTACATGTTGAACCCAAATACCTGTACTTTCTACTTCTCACATGTTGAACTCAAATACCTGTACTTTCTACTTCTTACATGTTGAACACAAATACCTGTACTTTCTACTTCTTACATGTTGAACACAAATACCTGTACTTTCTACTTCTTACATGTTGAACCCAAATACCTCTTTCCATTACTACATATAACACACATCAGACCTGGAACAGTGAGTACAGAACATCCGTGTGAAGAGCCCAAGGACACAAAGTTATGGGTACTTTTTACTGAAGTACATTTCGAAGCCTCTTTACTTTTACTTGAGTTAAGGGTTTTTGAAAAAAGTCAAACTTTTCTTTTGAAGGCCTGATATTCTAACGCTGTGCACGCAGCAGCCGTTTGACTGGTTTTGAAAACATTTGTCACGTAGTGATCATCATCTCAATAAAACATCTTTCTCGAGTCTTCTGGCCAATCAGAATCAAGATTGTTGCCTCTATAGAGTGGCGAAGTCACGCCCATCTACTTCCGCCCCATGGGACCTTATTTCTGAAAAATTATGCATTGAAGTCAATGGAGAGAGAAAAGCTATCTTTCGATCCCGTTTGAATTGTGCCATGAATTACACATATGATGTTTGTCAATCTTAAAAAATAATTTCCAAGTCAAAAAAGTCTCAGTTTGTCGTAAAACTGTTGAAATATAAGACTATGAAAAATACGTAACTAGAAAGACTACAAATCCCAGAGTCGCGTAAGTGATGTCACAATTGTTTTCCTCCACTAAGAGATAGCTAAGATCAGCGCCATATAGATAGAATCTATCTATATGGCGCTGGCTAAGATAAGATAACTTTAACAAGATGCCTGTGTGCTTAGTACCAGGTTGTTATACCAGCAATGGGTCTTGCTCGTTCTTTCGCTTCCCGTCTGATGAAAGGACCAGGAGTGTCTGGATCAAGCTAGCTAGTAGCTAGCACGTTAGTTAGCATTACAGCCTTGTCATTTGTATTAGCCTTAACATGAAGAAACATTAAGTAACCCAAAATGTTAAACAGTAAGAGTAGTAGTCATATTTCGTGAACCCTTTGAAGAGTACTGTCACCGGTGTGATCATTCTATAATACACCATTTAAGCCCGGGGGAGAAATGCTAACGCTAACGCTAGCGATCTTCTCTACTTCATGCTATCTGCACAAATGGTTGACATTAAACATTAAAACGACCAGGCAGTTCAGAGAGAATCAAAGGAAGGCAGGCAGGCAGCTTTGCATGACATTCTTCAGGACGTGTTTCATTGTGCTGATAGTGAGGGTAGTTAATCGTTGTGTTGACAAGACAGTAGTGACGGCCATCTTGGTGACGTGTGTTGTTGACCAGAGATGTAGTTCATTGAGCCTTTCACACAAACAAATGTGTTACTTCACAGTTTTACCACACATTTTTTTTGACTTGCAAAATTATCTTTTAAATTGACAAACATCATATGTGTAATTCGTGGCACAATTCAAACGGGATCGAAAGATAATCTTTCTCTCTCCATTGACTTCAATGCATAATTTTTCCGAAATAAGGTCCCATGGAGGTCCACCGGAAGGGGAGGGACTTCGCCACTCTATTGTTTTGTTATGAAAATGTATCTATATATATTTATACACATTCTCGCGAGATCTATCAGGGGTCGTTGTAAGTTAAAGCGCAAACTGTTACTTGGCTAATGTTGTTATAATTCTCAGAATGTGAACACAGATCGAAAATGGAAAGATTTCTCACAAGTCAGCGTAAACGACCGCGATCTCCAACGGAGCCGGTCCGGACAACCCTGGCCCGTTCTCATGTCATCAAATGTCCCTCCTCGACTCCCCTCCTCGACTCCCCTCCTCGACTCCTATCCTCGAGACTTAGTCCCGCCCACAGGAGATGCGAGCGGAGGAGCCGAGGAGGGGAAGCGAGGAGAGAGGAGGGGAACCGAGGAGAGAGGAGGGGAACCGAGGAGGGGAACCGAGGAGCCGAGGAGGGGAACCGAGGAGAGAGGAGGGGAACCGAGGAGAGAGGAGGGGAACCGAGGAGAGAGGAGGGGAAGCAGCAGGCGGTTAGAGAAATGAGAACTCCTCTCCTCTGAGCGGTTATTTTAAAGAGACGTCCATTAATGATGACAGGAGGCACAGCAGCCCTCTGTCTGATGGACTGATGTGTTCATGATGACTTCTATATTTACTTTGATTCATTCACAGTGCGGTATAATGAGACAAGAACAGGCTACAGATGAGGTCATACACACAGACACACACACACACACACACACACACACACACACACACACACACACACACA